TTTCCAAGAGAACATAAGAAAAACAATTTGATCAGGAAGTATCGTCGGCTGTGCTGTCATCACGATTCATTTATATGTAGAAGCCTCCCCCGTGCATCTCCTTTTACGGAATTTCCAGAGCTGTGCGTCTTCTCTAATTTTATCCGTAGAATTTCCTCATATTTTACCAATGTGAATGCGTAAAAAACCTGATTTTATCAAAGCTTTACGTTTCAAAATTGCATTTTGAGAAACCACGAATTAATTATGTATAGGTACGTGGCAGTTTTCGCTCATCTCATTTTGTGAAACCCGAGCAAGTTGCTAACACAGCAATTGTAAAATTACATAACGTGAGCGGTCTTCTCTGATGATTATGCGATTTTTTCCACAACACGTAGCAGACTTGGAGGAAATTCCTAGGTAAGTTTGGTGCGAGTTTGTGGGTATACTTAAATTTATTTAACGTCTTAACATTTCTCACTATCACCACTTCCTCAAAGCGATAGGGATCCGCCATTAAGAAGAAAGTACGAAGCTCTTGCAATGTAATCAACAATAAAGAATATCAGATACTAGTGAAAGATACTAATAAGATTGGTATGCGATAATGCAACACCTCCTTGCTCCATAACACCTCTGGATCCGGGCCTACCACTTCAGAATTTGACAGGCCGCAGTCTGAGACCACAAAACTCAAAGAATCCCCTGTAAAACTTAAATCTACTATAATAAACGAAATGATGAATGTAGGGGCTTTTGTTGCGGCTCCTTTCAATTGAAGGTACGAAGGATGGTTACGCTGTCCGAACTAAAACATTTACGCGCATCAGAAGAAAGGAAGAAAAAACAATATAGGAATGCTCAAGGACATCTCTTCAGAGCGCCAGCCATAAGTCTTCACAATTTTTTTGCCATACATTTTGTTAAGACTTAGCTTATGTTCAGCTCTATGGTAGCGTTCGGAATGTTTTTAGAAATATCCTCAAAGAATGCAATATTCAAAGGAACTACGCACTTCCTTGGTCATCACCATCAACTCGAACATGCACAGAATGCTCATCATTTATTAAACCCGATTTAGCTACAGCACGAAACTGTGTGAGACTCCTTCAGATGATCAAGTAATTTAGACGCGGCGAACACGATGAACACGGAGGCGGAAACGACGGCGTCTGTATCCTCCCATTCCACTACCACCTCCGTTCTGAATTTTCTTGAGATTAGAAGGGATGAACAAATCTGAGATAAAAAACCACTCACTCCTCCTCCTGGAGCGGGTCCAGGACCGGGTGCGGGTCCGGGTCCGGGAGCTGGCCCTGGTCCTGGTGCAGGGCCAGTTGCATAACTGCCAGGAGCGGGTCCTGGTCCGGGTGCGGGTCCAGGTCCAGGTGCTGGTCCGGGTCCAGGTGCCG